AAGGTTTATGAAAAAATGGAATTAAAAAATTATAGGTTTTAATAAAGTTGAGATGAAAAGCAAAAATGAAATAGAATACCTTTTAAATAACATGCTGCCTTAAGACAAAGCATTACTAAACTTAAAGGAGAGCTAACAGGCATTCATGTTTCATAAGGCTGATTTCATAAAATTTCAGTTCTTACTTCTTACAACCCTGCAAAGAGGTATCGTTACTGATACTGGTTTCAGACGCCTTCACAATAAGGCTCAAAGAAATGAAAATAACTTCAGAATTAATTTCATGTATTCATTAATTTAGAATATCATCTTTAAATTTTAAGTCATAATTTCTTTTTTTTTTCCTATGAAAAAGGAAAAGCAAAAATTGACATAGCAATAAGAATACACAGACAGATTTATAAACCTGGGTTATCCTTTTTGAAGAAAAACTATTACATGTCTTTAGGAGACAAATTCACTGTCCTAGAAACTTACACACTGAAAATACTATAAAAAAAAGAAGCAAAATTATATGCAAACTTGGTTATCTACAGTCACCCACAAGAACAAACCTAACGATTAGAGATGAACAAATCCCAATACAAATCTAGAAAGATACCATCTCTAACACATGTTATTAGCTCCACCTTTGCCATAAATATTTAGGAAACTAGCTAAATAATTTCCCTCAATGAACATCCATTTCCCCATCTGAACAATGGGGATAATACCTTACAAGTCTCTTATGGCTTTATAAGGGTCAAACACAGCAAATACAACACATTTTGTAAAGTATAAAACTCTGTACAAATGTAAGGAATTTGGATTCCAAAGTACCAAATCATACAGTTATATGAGAATGGTTTCTATTCAGTGTTTTTTCTTGACTGTCAGCAATCTTAGAAAAAACAATTTAGGTAGAAATGAGAATAAAAGATTACAAAGTTAAGAATTGAGTGGATGATAAAAGTGGAGGCAGCAGGCAAACATTCGAAGGTTTTCCTGTTTAAAAGAGAATGAAGATCAAAAGTAGCTGGGTGTACGGACAAATCAGTTCAATGGTATTAAGATTGGAATGACTTGAACATTTTTGAAGAAAAAAGAGACATAACGGAAGCACAAGCACATACAGGAAGTGCCAGGGTCCTGAATACATGTGGAGATTAATTTTCAAAAGGGTGATTTTTCAGTACATTTTGCTACAATACAGCCCCTGGGATACCTGACCTGTTTAAAGTAATTGGCACTAGGTTTTATTTTTACTAATACTGCTTTCCGTCGCAGTGAATCTCTTTGAAACAAGTTTAGATGAAGAAAAAGAATAAAAAATTCAGTCTACTCTGATAGGAGAAACCAGAAATAGGAGCAATAACGATCAACTGAAGATTTGAGGTATAAGAGGAAGCCGACCTAAGATCTCTTCATGAAAATGTGTGACAGAAATTATGTCCCTAAGACCAAATTAAAAATTTGTTAGAATACCGTGTTATAGTGGTTATGTCTAGGTAGTGGCAATTGTTTAAACAATTTTGCCATTTGGTCTGGCTGCTGTGGCGCAGTGGATTGAGTGCTGCTGACCTGAGAACCAAAGGGTCAGCAGTTCAATTCCCAGTCAGGGCACATGCCTGGGTTGTGGGCCAGGTTCCCTGGTGTAGGGCATGTGAGAGGCAACCGAACATTGATGTTTCTCCCTCCCTTCCCCTTTGTCTAAAAATAACCAAATAAAATATTTAGTTTTTTTGCCATTTATATTCTCTAACTTTCCACAATGCATACATACTAGTTCTGTGATAACAGAAACAAAAACCACCTAAAATTTCTGGCAGTGTACCTGGTGAAGAGAGGTACAGTCTGTATGTATCACTCAGAGTCGAGAGTGACATCGATAACAGGAGAGACTAAAAAGACTTGAATTCCTTGGCCCAGAAAAAATTACCTAACTGAATTTCTTTCTATAACTCAAAATGATGAAACAGCTGCTCCAAGAGAAATAAAAATGGACTATTTTCATACACAGTAGATAATAATGATGCAGAGAAAATCTATTATCTTAAATGGGTGTAGAAACTTGAAAACCTCACTAGCTCAAGTCAGATTTCAGTTCATTCACACGACAGACCCACGACAGACAGTCACTGGGAGTGAGAAGGGATCAGCGAGTCCCTTTTCAGCACCACGACGAGCAACCACTATGTGGCCCCACGAAATGTCTCCTGGTGTCGCAATCACCAAGAGGTGATGTGAGAAAGTACTCTGTCACTTTTAAGGTTGATCCTATCATGAATTAGCTTATTTCTATGACTACAATAATTAATAATATGAAATTATGCTCATTTGGGAAAAGAAACTTTAGACATGTATAAAATAATAAGAAATTAAAACTCCTCTCTCCACCTACCTGGAGAACCCGACTTTGCAGAGGTCATCAGTTTGGCGTGCATCAATTTGTTCTTCAAGACTGAACTTTAAAAAAAATTTACTCATGTCTTGCTTAATTTTTTTAACATGCTGTTTCACAGGCCAATGAATTGTTTGTGATTAGATTGTTTTCAATGACTAGATTCAATTTTTTTCCATCTTAGAGATGGAGAAAATAAAGAAAATGATTAAAAATAAAACAAATCAAAGTTTCATCCTAAGTTCAAAGATGTTATTCATTCTGAACTCAGTCACTATGGATGTGACATTATTAGCAAGAGAAAAATCCCTAGTTCCTACCTTGAATTCTGTACACTGACTGGCCTTTTTATACATAAGAATATACACAGAAACACACAGCACAATAAAACATAAATAAAACCTACATTAAACGATAAAAGAAAAGTTCAATCCATAAATTATTGAGCAGACCCTTCTTATCTTTTTTCCTCACTTTTAATCAGTTAAAATGAGAGTTTAAGAAAAGGCATATGCTTGCTAATAAGGCAAGGAGTACCAACAGCCTGTGCAGAGTGAAAATATTCTTTTAATCTTGTACCAATTTATTAATATCCTTCAATGTTGTCTTTAAAAAAATAGACTTAGACCATAAAAAATGTGCTTGATTTTTAAAGCCACATTCTGAGTCTGGATTTTCTCACTGGTGACCTGGAAAGCACACGACTCAGGCCTGTGATGTGGAATTCCGGGTGTAAACAACTGCTTTTTTAACACAGAGGGCTCTTCCTGAGCATCACTTTATTCTTTGCATCTCTCTTGCTCTGGCTCTCGCTCTCAGCTGCAACACAAAGCAGAGTCTACTTTATCTATGCAGAAGTTTGGTAAAAATAATCTTCCACTATCTTTCTAGAAGCTTTAATTTGGAAATTTCAGCTTATTATAAAAAATAGTGTTTAACAGAGGTAAAATTTTAAAACTTAATCAATTTTACCCTGAAAAGATGCCTTAAAAACCATAAACACTGATAACAAAAACCAGAAAAATGTTATCTTATTTACTTTGTAGTGAAGGAAACATTCCAATCTTTTTGTTTTCCAAATACACTCATTTCCACTAATAACCACCCCAAAAGTACATGAATATCAAAGGGAATAGAAATGTCTGAATTGACTTAAAAATTCCTAGTAAATCTAAAAATTATTTGAGTGTTTTGGTCAACTGGCAATGAGGAAATCACTGGTTACCAGACAGAAGTGGTTTCATTAGGGATGAAGCCAGATCACACACGATGGCAAGGGAGCGGGCGCGGGGTGAGTGCAGCAAATGCAGGCTGCTCTGTAAGGAAAAGAGAAGGCAGCTTTCTGGTGTGACAGAGTAGAAGGAAGGTTCCTCATGGTGAGAACAGACAGCATCTTTTTTAAGACAAGAGAAGGGGGTTAATGAAGAGTCTGTATTAAAAGCTCATGATCAAGCAGTCACTGAACACATATTCAATACAACATGTAACATACAAAGAATAGTGAATTTATGGAAGAACCAAATCACTTAGGCAGAGTAAATCAATCATAATAGACATAAAAATATTTTTCTTAAATTGGTTATTCTGCCTGCCTACAGTGGGAAGCCTGCCTTCTGCTCAGTTGAGTATTACTGGCAGTACCTCAGTAAGGTTGTCAGTCACTGAAAGAAGGTACAGAAGTAGGGTGGAGGAAAAATACTGGGTTTGGACAGAGTGATAAGGATCTATAAGAAGGCACAGTGACAGAGATGAGAGAGACAAAGAGGAAAGACTGCTCGGAAATGTGCTGGAAGCTAGGAGATGAGACAAGCAGTATTGAGGTGTTACAATTACCGGCCAAAGAAACACAGCAACAGTATTTAGATACGAACGATGTTACAAGACTCATGGTCCTTACTGCACATCTGTTCTCTCCAGGGCACCTTACTCTGTTCTCTGTGATGGTGGTTTTTGTTTGTTTCTTTAAGTGCTCTTTGGGCCTATAGAAATTCCAACCCCTCCGCCTTTAAATCCCGTTAAAAGTCATTTTCTTTGGTTATATCTACAGGAAAAAAGGAACATGTTATTATAGATATAGTTCAAATAACTTACCAAATTATCAGGTCTTACAGCTTATCAGACTCTACTGAAACAAGATATATGCCAATTTCATCCCAATCAATAGCTAACCGTACTGCCGTGAACAGGAAGAACTCTCTAGAGCACGGGCTCGGGGCAGAGGGCGGGTGGTGGTGCCGCAAGGGTGGCACGGACCGGCTACGGAGGGAGACTGCTCAAAGTATGCACGCCAGCACCCCACCTCTGCAAAAGCCATTTTAAACATCTGACTTTCCTTTTCTATCATTTTAAATTCCAAATTCTGACTGCCATAACCTTTCCAGAATTATTTTCAGTCTCACTGCTTCACGGCCACTGTTTTTATCCACAGTGGCCATCAAGCACATGGCAGATATGGGAGTCTAGGAATATAAAGGAAATGATGAAAATTAAATTCAAGAATATCTTGATATTTTTCTTTTCTAAATGAAGAACAACAAAATCATTCTGGCTGAGGATTCCATCTACCTATGTTCTGACTACTTTTAATTCACTTTTTTCCCTCTATTTTTTTTTTAATTTGAAAAGTACAGAACGCTTCCCGACTTTGTGCGTCATCCTTGCGCAGGGGCTATGCTAATCTTCTCTGTATCGTTCCAATGTTAGTGCATGTGCTGCCGAAGCGAGCACTTTATTCAAGTTTTAATGTGGCAGGAAGATATATCCTAACTATCCTTTAAGTTAGAATTATGCTTCAGAGGCAGTGAAAGGGTCTTTTTAGATTTAAGCAGCTATGATGCATTTCTCTTCTGATCTTAACTTTTAAAATGGTGGTATTAAATCATTCTGCTGCCGCTCCCTTTTTATCACCGTGATTTAAAAAATGGACTAGTACGTTAATTATGAAGAACAAAGTTTTCCTTATGAAAACGATTTGTTACTAAGTATCTGGTAGCTCAGGGGAAAAAAGGTTTCCATCTGCAGTCTATACTTCTGTTTTTAAAGTCCTAACGGAATCTCCTGCGCACTAAGACACAAAGCTTGTGTCTTGGCTCCTTTCTAATTACCAAGAGAAAGCAAAGGGTGCAGGATAAGAGGAGACTGGGAAAGTGAGGAGACACAAAGACGAGCCCCACCAGCATTGTCCACTCCCAAGAGAAACAAACTTTAAGTTTCAAGAAACAATTGCCTGCTGTCTGGGAGATGCTAAGGCATCAAACAATAAAGAACAGTCAACAGAGGCAAGAGGCCGAGCACGCTGCTGTGCTTCCCACTCTCTAATCCCCCGGCTCCACTAAAAAGGCCAGCTGTTGCCACCTCGCGTAGGGCGTCAGCAGAGCAAATTAACTGCCAGAGAAAAAAGCCGCGGATATTGGAAAATTCTAATTTACTGGCCTCTTTAAGCTACACTGGTTTTAACATTAAGGATATTATGTTACAGCATTAAAATACGCCTGTGCTATGGCAGCGCAAGTAAAGCATTTTACCACTGTTTTCACATTTCATTGGTAAATGAGGTGTAGATATGAAGTATTCAGTTTTGCCCGAAACATATCTTTTGTGACGTACAAGAAAAATGAGGAAATACATTGAAGCTTACTATAAAACCTTTCGACCCTCACAGACTAGCTCAACAAAAAGCCTTGACTGCTCAAAAACAATTCTGTATCTGTTACAGCTGGACCTGAAGGCTCTAAGCCTGAACACATCACACTGCAAAGCTGTGTCTGAGTTTTGGGCACTCGGATACTTCTAAACTATGGTGGCACTTGACAGACTGTACTTAGAGATGTGATTACAAGTCACATAAAGAAAGTTAACTTCCTTCAGTCTGTTCAGGGGCTTCATTCACGTTAGTATTCTCTTACCTAGACGTTCTAATTCTATCAAATCTTTCATAATCCTCTGACAGTGTAAATTGCAAGGCTTTATATAGTACAGGAAATGCAGAGATGATGATCATCGTCACTAATATGTATGTCTTTCTGATCTACCCTGTAAAGGGCATAGTTAACTATGTGAGCTTCTAAATATAAAGAACCATTTTATGTAATTATATTGTCCAATGGCTTGAGGTTTTCTTTTTAAATTAGTTTGGCACAAAAGATCTGGGCTCAAATCTTGGCTTTACCACTTATTATCTATGTGTTTCTAAGCCTCCATTTCTTGATCTATAAAAATGAAAAAAAATGATTATACCTAGGAGAATGCATGTAAAGCCCATAACCTAACATCTGGGAGAGAAAAGTATTCGAATATGCATTCATAAACAACTTCAACTTCTGATACAAAAATGAGAAGGAATCTACTGTAAAATAAGGAAGGACCCTGTAGTTTTTAGAAAGAAAGAACTAAATGATTGGCAATGCCCCTTTAATTCCTGGGTATCAATGATTCTTTGACTACGTGCACAGAGAATGAAAAGTTTAACTCGAGCTTTGTGAACGAGGGTTTTAAAAGAAACCTAAGCTCTGAATCCTAAGCAATTGATTTAAGAGCCAAACACTCACAATAACCTAGTTAACAGCTGGTACAATTTTTGGAGCAAACACTAAGAGAATTCTAGGCTATGCTGATGAAGCTCAGTGTAGCGATACTACCAGCAATTATTACCAGTGCGAGGGATGGAATGAAGAACAAAATTCGTTAAGAAAATCTGTGAGATGATAGCACTATTACTTATTCTATATGATGACAATCATAAAATAAATAATATATTTTTATAATTTTCCAAAATAAAATCATTTTATAAATCATAAAACAGATCGTAATTGAAAAACTTTGATTTAAGCTACAATATACCAATCTTCCACTCTCCAAAGAAAGCATTTAAAAACTGCAGTCTATTTGAATAAATAGGTTAGGGACATTATTAAAAATTCTTCTGGGAATCCAAATAAATTTTATCTAACAGTGTATTTCAATATCTATTAACATCCTTTGAAATAAACTTCACTACAAACCCAAAATAATTCCATCAAAGTCACAGCAGGCAAACGTGAACCCTGGACAAGTCCAAATGTGCCCAGACTCTGCACAGAAGAAATGAAGGTGGGAAGATGAGCTACGTATCTTACTCAATTTTCCATGAGGTCGTGGTCTTCTGACATCGTCAGAGATCTTTTTTTTAAGAGTCTCATTTTACTCTAAATTATTTTCATATGAGCCCAATCCATTATCAGTTATAAAAACAAAATTGAACCCCCTTTTTACCCTTTTATATAAATAATCTCAGACTTACAGAGAAAAGCTCTCAGAACACTACAAAGACATAATATTTCCTGAATCATTTGTTGCCATTATTCTCTCAAAGCCCCAAATAGTCTATGGTATATTAGCTACGAATAACTGAAGTTTAAAAATTAACACTGAGGTACTACTATCATGTAACCCTCAGACCCTTTTCAAGTTTTAGCAACTGGACCATTAATGTCCTTTAGAGCCAAAAGGTCCAGGGCAGGGTCGCAGTCTGCACGTCTTTAGTCTCTCCCAACCTGGAACAGTTCTCAGTCTTCCCCTGCCTCTCACAATCTGGGTCTATCTGAAGACTACGCGCTAGTTATTTCGTAGACCATGCCTTACTTTAGGTTTGTCTGCTGTACTTTTACAGTTAGACTTAAGTTATGCATCGCTGTTAAGAATATGATGCTGGGGTCTTCTCACTGCATTCCGAAGGTGCCACACGGGTCTGATTTGACCGTTACTCATAATACTAACTTTGACCGCTTGACGAGTAGTATCGCCAGGCTTCTCCACTCTAAAATTACTTCTCCACTTTTCAGTTACTTTGTGCAGTGATATTTTGTGTGATTAAACAAACATCCTATTCCCCATCACTTATTTTACTCATTTACTTATATAATTATTAATTTTTGGATGTTTTATTCAGTGGGTTATAATTTATAACTGCCATTATTTATTTTCATGTCCAAACTGCCCTAATCTTGGCCAGCTGGAGCCTCTGTATCCTGTTGACATGTCCCCACCATTCTTCAAGTACTTCCTATTTTCTACATCTTAAGATGCCCCAGGTTCATCCTGCCTTTCCCAGTTCCAGCTCTAGAATCTACCACATCTCTGAAGAGTCCTAGTTCCCCTGTGTGACTGCTACTCCCGTGAGCCTCCCGGACAAACTAGAAGATGTGGTCCCGCCTCTTGTTTCTTTGACTCTCCTGACTCAGGCTTCGTGGTTTCATTTGCTCTATCTAGTGAACTAGTGAACATGCTCCATCTTCTCCAGGATGAGAAGCCACCAAACAACTTATGTACTCATCCTAAAGGACAACCAGTTGGTGAATCTCCAAAGTAAAGTGCAATAAGTGTGGTGTTATCAAACTTTACAAATCTCTGTAATATTCTACCCTATACAATTTTAAAGTTATAGTAAAACCTTTCTTGATTGCCTCCCTTCTCTAAATTCTGTTAACAAATACACTTTGTTCTAACTGAATTTATACAAGACACTGATCTGTGTAACACAGTAGTAACTGTTAAACTTTAAAGGTTTTCTTGTTGAAAAGTATCCATGACCATATTCCCAAGTGTCAGACTGAAGATAAACAATAAGGAAAGATATACAAGATTCTTTCTCAACCACTGGACAAAGTCATGGCTCATCTCCCTTCGTGTGACTGGCAAAGTGAGTCATTGCTGAAACACCTGCTTCCAAGGACATTATGTGGTACATTAACACGACCACGATTCTATATACACGGAGCAGTAAATCATTTTGAGGGAGTCGTGGGTTTCTCAGCAAAACCAGTGGAACGGATGACCCGGCTTGACAGTGCACAGATTTGTACTAGTAATATACTTTCTTTAAAGAATCAAATTGAGAATAGAAAGTGATAGGGTTACACAGAAGGCTGCATCACAAAACATGAGAAAACACATCATTTTTTTTTACTCCCTTAAAAATGTGTGCACCGGTGAAACACACTGAGGTATGTCAGTGCCTGGTAACGGTGTCCTGGGGAACACAAACACATTCGTGTCTGTTGTGACACGGACACCCTTCTTCCCGGAACAGCGCACTTCAGCACAAAATTATGCACCAGGGACTTGCACGTGTTTCTGAACAGCACGGTGGGAGTCGCCTCCACCGTGCAGCTGAGGCTCTGGGAGAAACCCTGCCTGGGTAGCACAGCTAACAGATGGCAATTCCGGAAGAAACACGGCTCTTCTGTAAGTTAGCACAAACTTTCATTGGTGGCCAAAGTGGCAGGGGAAAAAAAAAGGCAAAGAAAATAGAAATAAAAGTTAAAATGGAATATGCTTAAAAAATATTATTTAAAGAAAGTAAAGGAAAAGACCGAAATGAAGAGCTCGGATAGCTTCGAGGCGGAGAGAGAAGGGAAAGACAAACCGTGGAAGACGGCAGTCTGCTCAGGCACAGGGTGCGAAACAGGACGGCTGCCTGCTTTCTGCTGAGACTCCAGGGACCGTATTGCAGTGACATAAATTCTGCTTAGAAATGGTTTTCAAATTTGAAGAACTCTGTGTTTTTCTTAACTTACTGATTTTTTTAGAGATAAGGAGGGGTGCAGAGAAACACCCATTTGTTGCTCCACTTACTCATGTACTCGTTGGCTGCTTCTTGCATGTGCCCCGACCGGGGATCGAACCGCAACCTTGGTGTATTGGGACAACTCTCCAACCAACTGAGCCACCCGCCCAGGATGAAGACCTTT